CCTGATCTGGTGGAAGGTGTCCCTGCCCATGACAGGGGCTGGAATGATCTTACTCTCAACCAAACCAAACCATTCCATGATCCTAAGATTTGAGCACCTGGCTTAAAGGGGATGCTTGGTGATGCTTTTGGCCTTGAATAACTACTGCACCTTGTTGGGATTTGGCGTAGTGAGTCTCCAGAGGGGTTTGTGTAACTGCAAAACAGAAGGCAAAGCTACATGAAGGAAATAAAATAATTTCCCTGAGGCCCAGCACATGCTTGATGCTGGAATTCAGCTCAAAGGGAGGTGACAGGCTCTGGGAAGGAACTGATGACTCAGTGTCCTGGGGGGGGTCTTGTTTTGCTCCTCAGTATTTCCGCAGTGCAGTGGCTCTGTAACGCTGACAAGAAATCACACAGCCCCCCCAAACGCCTCTACAGATTCTTCTCCACTCTTTACACTGCCCTGGTAAGTGCCACACTCTCCCTGCCAGGCCTCTCCTGCTCTTGCCTCCTCGCTCATGCCTTTTAGCAAGATATTTTAGGTCAGGTGTTTTAAGTAAGTGCTGCTCTGAGGCAGGACTGGCAGGAGCACCCACTGCCTTCTGTGATCCCTCATGGCTCACTGGCTCTGGGAGGTTTTGGGGAGGGGGGAGCTCGTGTCTGGGGCAGGGATGGGGTGACCAGAGGGGTTGTCTGCACTGACACAGGTTTGTGACCAGCTTTATTTCCTGTAGGCCCGAGGATCCCGAGCTGTGCTGCAGCTGTACCCCGAGAACTCAGAGCAGGTACAGGCCATCAGTCAGCAGGGAGGGGGTGTGGGTGCTGTTTGGGGCTCTGAGTGCATCATGTTCCTCCACATCAGCTCTGTGTCTCTGTCCTTCCTGCCAGCTGGAAGGCTCTTTGACAGCTCAAAGAAATAACCTGTAAGAATACCCTGTGCAATTTCTGTTGCTTTGTAGATTTTCTTGGGCTGAGCCTTAAAATCAAAGAAAGTGGCAGGACACCATCTGAAACTGCTGTCCTGGATTTTCTCCTGTGTGTCTGGGCTATAGTCACCAGCACTGCACTGTAACTCCCCAGGGCTGGAAAATCCAGCTCAGTATCCCTTTCCAAGAGAGTTAACCCAGGGTAGACTGAGGAGCAGGGAGAACCAAACAAAGGCAGGGAACTGGTGTCTGGATGCATCTTGGGGATGCACAGTCAGCTGTGGTCCTCCCAGAGGTATCCTGGGCATTCCTGGGGGATCACTGCTAATTAATTCTTGCACATGCTTCTCTTTCTAGCTGGAGCTCATCACAGCCCAAGCCATGAGAGCTGGATTTACTGGGGGAATGGTGGTCGATTACCCCAACAGTGCCAAAGCCAAGAAGTGAGTCCTGGGTCTCTGTGGGTGTGGTTGGGCTGAGGCTTGGGTTTAGCAGTGATTTTTCTTTTTTCCTCAAGCTGTTCTTTCTCTTATGATAGAGTCCTAGACAGAGGTTACAGCTTAAATCTGATTCCCTTATAAACCATCCCAGTCTTGCTTGGGACTGAGCCCACATGCTGAATCCCACCTTCGTGCTCTTTATTCTTGTTCTTTCAGGTTCTTCCTTTGTCTCTTTGTGGGCGCATCTGGCACGTTACCAAAGGTGAGGAGCTCCAGGAGGCAGCAGAGCTGCTGTCCTGGCTGCTGGGTGATGGGGAAGAGCTGTGGGCAGAGTGGGAGCCAGGTAGCTCTGCGTGGGTAGATGTGACTTCATGTATACATTTGCTGCCAGTCACCAAGTCCTTCTATCATAGAATCATGGAATGGTTTGGCTTGGGAGGGACTTCAGCTCGTTCCACCCCTCTGCCATGGACAAGGACACCTTCCACTAGCCCAGGTTGCTCCAAGCCCCATCCAACCTGGC